AAATCCCCCATCTAGAGCCTTGCTGTGCTGTTTCCAGAACCAAAACGAACAGCATAATGCAGGCAGCTATCCACCTTTTATTTCATAGAAGCTATACGGGTCATAGAACAGTACTTTCCTTTTATAATTCTGTAGCCCTGCATTGGGCATTACATGTGACCACAGACAGTGTTACTAGAAGAAATTTTTTGTGTGTTTTTTCTTTCAGTTTCTTTTATATATAATAATTGTACGTATTTGTGGAGTACATAGTGACCTTTAATATGTATGTATAATGTATAGTGATTAGATCAGGGCATTTCATGGATCTGTTATCTCAAACATTGATCATTTCTTTGTGCTGGGAGCATTCAGTATTTTCCTTCTAGCAATTTGAAACTATATGTTATGGTTAATTACAGTCACCTTACGGTGCTGTAGAATACTGGAGCTCATTCCCCCTATCTAGCTGTACTGTTGTACCCTTTAACAAATCTCTTTCTATCCCCTCGTCTCCTACCCTTGAAAATGATTTTTAGAGAGCTCACATTCCATATTTGTGTCCTAAGATGGTCAGGTAACTACCTGATCCCTCAAAGTTAAACTTATCAGCTGTAGTCCAAAGATTCAAATGGGCAGCCTGGCCATCCCCTTTTTATAGTTCAGTTTTGAGTTTAGAATTCTCATTTCCTGTCCTTGGGTAAAGAACATTTTGTACTTTAAAGTTTGCAGATGTTTGAAAAGGATGGGTGTTCTTTGGATTTAGGCATCAGTAAAAGTTGCTTATAACTTTTCTTTTTTTTTTTCTTTTTTAGATATGGGAAAATAGTCTCTACAAAGGCAATTTTGGATAAGACAACGAACAAATGCAAAGGTATGTTTTCTTGGCTGAATATTTGTTAAATCATAGCCTTCGAAAATGGAATTTTAAACCTGGTCTTTGGTTTCAAAACTGTCTTCTTGTTATTAAAAACCAAATCTGATGTGTTACCAGCTTCTGTCTTGCACGATGTTGGTATATTGCTTACGTTTGTCGCTGGTTGAATTTTGGCTGGAAATCCAACAGTAGCTAGCAGTTTGCCAGAATTCCGGATTTGACGCCAGTAGGGTTAACATGCAAAATACGGGTTGGCATTTAGCCCCTGCTTTTAAAAGGGGAGTAGAGTTAGAAAATAGCTTTTCTTTCCTGAGCCTGAGGAGATTAGAGCTGCTTACTGAAGACCATTGGACTGTAGTAAAGAACTGAAAAGATTACATATTGTGCAAATTGGCTCTATTAATTAGGATAGAGTAGTTTTAAGCAGTACTTAATTACATGTTTCAATACTCCCAATTGTTCTTTGCTGAATGCCTGTTGACAATATTGGCAGCAGGGAGGAAAGAACCATTTTCACTGACCAAATTGTAATAGGGAGGGGAGGTCATGTGCCCCTTTGAAATATGCTACTGCATTAATTTGATGCACTGACCTTCAGTTTTCCATGTAATTAGGATGAGCTCATCCGGCCCCATGAGCTGGAAGAGGAGGCGTCTACAGTAGGCAGCACTGATGCTCTGTGGGCCTGACTTTTAATGATCCAGCATCTTAACAATAGGCATGTGATTTCTAGGAAAAGGGAAGAATAGAGTCAGCTGACTTTGAATCTAACGACTGACCCCATGAATTGAAATAAGGTTGACAGGAATAGGCAGAGAAGGCAAAGCTCCTCATTAATTAGACCCCAGTTTTTCAAGTAGTGGTGACGGGGCACTGGCTTAGCACAATCTGAAAGAGGCAGAGAACATAAATGAACCCTATGGAAGGACCTCTCCTTATAAACCAGCCATTCCCTTTAATCTGGACTTGAAGTGGCTCATTGTGTATCTGTCTCTTCTTCAAAGTGCCTTCATTTAAAGGAGCTATTGTGGCAAATATCTAAGCCCATGTTTAATCAACGTGGCACATCAAGGCAGTTTTGCCCTGGTACAGTGAATAGAGCAGGTTTTATGTAGAGAAGTACCCAATAAATATTTTAAATGAATTAAATTAGAGTAAATTGTAGACCAAAATGCATATACTTAGTCTCCAAGATTGGTCTTATTTAACATTTACTAGTGATTTGGAAGAGCAGAGACAGGGAGAAAAAAAAAAAAACCCTTTTGTTTTTATAAAGAAAAATAGACTCTTGCGAGCATAAAAATAGGGAAGCTGATCTCAAAAATTAGTTTTAAAGCAAGAGATAAATAAGAGTAGACAAGGGGCTTTAGCCTTACTTTATCTCCCCTACTCTTCTTCCCCACCCCCAAAGAAATCTTACTTAGCAGCTCAATATGTTAAAAACCAGAACTATGCTAGTCAAGTGAGGGAGAGAACCTAGAGGCCTCCCTGGTTAAATTCTCCACCATACCCCTAAACGGAAAACCACTATCGGACACTCTTCTCCACTGGCAATTTATTGTCTGAAAGCCAAATTTTACGAAGTGCTCTGCACGATTTAGAAAAGGTATGGGTAAAAATAAACTAATGCTAAATCTAGCATACTCTTAGAATGCAAATCTGGACCAGTTGGAAAAGAGCTTACAGATAAGAGAAGAGATTTGGGGGACTTCTCGATAAGGGTTGGAATAATTTAGAACTGATTTTACAGCAGGTCTCCCAGAGACCTATCCTTAAACTAGGCCTTGGAAGACACTGCCTTTGGGTATGTAGGCAGTGATAGAAACCTTCCAGGGCTCGCATAAGCCTCCCAGCAATAGGTATCAACAGATATCTGGTGGGTTGAATGCACAGGTGAGTGAGTGAGCGGAGAGGTAAGCAGGAGGTGGTTTATGAAATCCTAGAAGTGAGAAAGAGAGAACTTGTGAAAAACAAAAGTAATTGAGGACAAATAAGAAGGAATAACATTTAGCTTAGTTCCTAATAAAGTTAGAGAACATGTTACCCAAGATAACTTGACCTGATAGGTAGATCAGTTGGAATATAAATAATAGATTCATTTGTAAATATAGGTCAATTCATACGTAAAAGATTATGGAGTGTTAGTATCAGAGGTCCTCAAATTTTTTAAACAGGGGACCAGTTCACTGTACCTCAGACCATTGGAGGGCCGGACTGCAGGCCCCAGGATGAATCGACTGCTAAGTAGGACAGGCAGTGGCGGCAAAAACACCTGGCGGGCCGGATAAATGTCCTTGGCGGGCTGCATGTGGCCTGCGGGCCATAGTTTAAGGATGCCTGGTAGATGAAAGGTGCTTGTGTCATATTCTAATTTTTGTGATTAAACAAATCGGAGAATTTTTGTACATGGAAATGAGATCTTGGAAGGTCACAGAACATTTTTATCACAAAACATATTTTGGAGCCTCTGTTTTGGACAAAATTAAGCTGAAGCAAACATTACTCAGAATAACATATGCCTTAGTTGTTCAATTTAAAAATTTGTGATTTCGTTGTTATTTTACATTTCAGTTTTGGTCTAGTTTAGCCAACAAAAGGTATTTAAATGCTTAACCAACACTGGTATACATCGCAGTTCAGGACAGAAAAAGCTCACAAAGGGTTGGCCGTGAAACCGATTCATTATTTATACTTAAAAGAGTTGCATGTAGTATCAGAACATGTACACATACTCATAAGTAAAAGGGGTTTGAGGATAAATCAAACCAACAGGAAAAATAAGGAGAAGAGCAAGAAAATGCACATTAATACAAGATGGCCCTGTGTGTCCTAGTGGCCAAAGCCAAAGCAGAAGACCTAGCTCTTCCTGGGATTCAGTCATCACAATGCTCGCAGGAAATACAGGCAGCAGGAGTGAGTCGCTATTCCTAGTCCTGAGACCTGCGGAAAATTCTCCTGGGGAGCTCCCCAAGCCTTGTTATTTAGTGAACCCCACCTTCAGAAAACATCTTTATATAAATATATTGAAATCCAGACAACCGGCTTCGCTCAAATTTTATATACTTTTTTATCTACTTGAAAGTAATACAGATAGAAAAAATGAAAGAGCGTGGGGTTGCATGCTCACACATTATCTTTTTCCTTAGCAAGTGGTTTTATGACAGAGCAGTAGCAGGGTGGGCAGTGGAGAAGGCCAGAAAAGGGTATAAACACTTAGCTAAGTAACAACCATTATGGGTTTCCTTGAAGAACACAACAGATAAAAAGAATGCTATTGTTACTTCGGTCAAGTACAGTAACATCAAAATTGAGGTCTTTATTTATTGGCAGTAGCAGAATTGAAGGAAAAAACTTAAATATCCATCAATAAGAACTACCTCATTTCAGTGTATAGCTACGTGTTCAATTAGGACCTGCTGTAACTGTGCACAGGAGTGAGTGTGTGTGTGCCTGTGTGTGAATCCACATGTCAGCATTCGTCGCAGATTGCTAACGGACACCCTAAATTTGTTTCACCTCATTTCTAGCCTGGCAGTTGAGTCGCATTCTCTGCTTTTACTGGGGGAACCTCTTCCTTTTTCTCCCCCACCTGGCTGTTTCTTTACTATCTAAATCAAATTAAGCCTTATTTCAATCCAATTCCAAGTAATACAAGGAAGCTGCATCTTGTTTCAGTTTAACATTCATCTTTTCTGAAACCTCTATTTCTGTAATCAATAGTCTGTTCCATTTCATTACAATTTATTTTGTTAATAGGCCGTATTTTGGGTTCTAATACCGTAAAACTGACTTTGGACTATTTCTGAGCTGTTGATTTCATTGATGTATATTTGTCTGTTTTGACACTAATACCATACTATCTAAATTACTAGGTCTTCATTATACCTATAAATAAATCATAGGGGCTGGCCCCTCTTCTAAACAATCTGGAAATGGCTTTTTTCCCCCCGATATATTCTTATTCATTTAAAATTAATTTATAATAATTGACATGTGTTCTAAGAAAAACCTTGTTATCTCACCTGGTCCCCTGGTCCCTTAAATAGTACAGTAAATATAATTTAACCTTTTCTTAACTTCAGTAGTATCAGAGTAAAAAAAAATTTGTGACCATCTAATAAAATAATGTTCACGTAATCTACTGAGATTTGTGGGGCTGTTTTCTCTTATGCTGTATGAGTCCCAGTTCTCTGTATAGTGTTTCTCTTCTATTGCTTTTTATTAGTTTTCTCTGTTAGATGCCATATATGTACCTATTTTATTTCAGACCTACCCTTACCCCCACCCCATTTTACTCCTAATTACCTGTTTCTGATTTGTTGTAGTCTGGAAAAACAGATGACCAGCTCATTAAAAATGTTTGTAAAGACATGGCTAAATACGCTTTGAGCCAGGGCCTCTCCTAGGAGGTTATGTATTTGTTTTGTTTTATTTTTAGGTTTTTAGGTTATGAACTGCTAAAACGGCTATTTTGGATACGTAGGGGCATTCCCCCTCCCTTTTGTTTTAAAGGGACATGATGGGGCTTTATTTTAGGTAAATGAGTACAGTGTTTCTAAACAAGTACTAAAATTAGGTTATTTCATATTTGGGGTATCTAACAGTTGCACATATTTTAATTTTGTTAAGTAAGGTGTAGTCTACAGAAAAAAACATAGTTTCTCTCTCATTTGTAAGCTCTGTAGGAGAGCTCTTTCTTACTGAATCTTTAAAAACAGTTTTTCTTTGATGTTGATTTTTTTCTTCCCTTTTTATTTTATTTTATTTTTTTAAATGTTGGTCAGGAACTTAGATGTAATTTCTTTCAGTAACTGCAGGTCACCCCCAAAAAAGATCTTGAATCAGAAAAAGCTAGTTCCCTACCCCCACGCGCCACCTGGGCAGGGGGCCTGTCCGGGCAGGGAGGCCTGTCCAGCCAGGGGCTGCTGCTTCTCTCGGCTGAGCTCTGTCAAGACATCTTCGTTTCTGTTGCCTGCATTAGAAACAAACTAGAGTCATCCTTTTACTCTTTACATAATCATAAAATAATGGCTTCAAGACTAAAAGTGTTTTGTATTTCAGGGTATGGTTTTGTGGACTTCGACAGTCCTGCAGCGGCTCAGAAAGCTGTGTCTGCCCTGAAGGCCAGTGGGGTTCAAGCGCAAATGGCAAAGGTGAGTGGAGAGCCAGGAATTGTTTCCCTGCCCCGCCAGCCACAGCTCCTTCTGTGTGTTTCTCCCGTGCGTCCACAGCCTCAACATAGTGACTGTGCAAAGACTATTCCTCCAAATTTACCATGTAGACCAGAATTTGTTAATGCATAAAATTTACATGGTAAATAACAGAACTCCCTGAGGAAATCAAGAAATGGTGCCAGGTTTTCTCAGGTAATCGGATATTTGTGAGTCTTTAAAATCTACTGTCTTTTAAACAATCATGTTAATGTGTCAGTGCCCAAGAAATTAACATATTTGGACACACTTCCAAAGGTAATTGTATATGGAATGCCATATTTTGAAAGAATATTTAGCTAGCACATACATCGATTTATACAAATGTATTAGTAGTTAAATGAAGCTATAAGTGAGTTTTCTTCGACATTTTTAGACATTGGTTATTTTTGGGCTATATATCTACTCTTCAGTAGTTCTATAATGACTTCAAGATTGTTTCTGATGGACTTTTAGCATTCTAAAGAAGGAATATTAATTGAAGATTTTTTTTCTGGTGGGGAAGATGCCTAAATATTAAGGGGTTGTAAAACAGAAACTATATGTTTCATGCTTAATATGTAATTCAGTATAGTACACATGGATATCAGTTACTATACAATATAATATTTTCCTTGAAAACTTACGTCTCAGGAGTTTCTCTTTGAGGTTTTTACCTAGAATATGATAATTTATGAATGTAAATAGAGTTGATCGTCCAGTCCTTGTCTCTGTCTTTTCATATTAGGTTCATCAACAAAATTAGACAATTTTAGATGGCCTAGATACATTTTTGAAAGTACTGATGCCTTAGAAAGCCTTGATAGATGTGGAAAGGTTGGCCTTACGTGAGCTAAACTACCAGTTCAGGTGCAGCCCGATTTTAAAGCTGGAGGGACCTCAGACTACTGATGTATCTTCATCCCCACTTTCAAATAAGCGTGGTCTCAGAAATCAGACTCAGAGAGAGGCATAACTCTTTAGATAGCATGTATCCCTTACGTGTTTATATTCTATAACAGACATTCCATTATGCACTAAACACATCAGGAGTCATGGTTGACCGAACTGATATTTACATCCCAGTCTCTATTGGCCAGATGGAAGCCTGGGTTCTATCCTAATGCCTAGTAACTACAATGCACTCATTAAGATATTCATGTACTTAGTAGAGGGGTGTTTTTTTTTGCCCATCAGTAGTCCTTCAGTTACTATAGAAAATATTTGCAAGCCTGAAACTTGGCAGTTTGATATTTTGAATGTTCTTTTCAAAAGAGCAATACTTTTATATTACCTAGTTTCATAAAGCAGAGGAAAGTAGTTCTGTACTGCTTCTGAATGATAGCACGTGATCATTCCCTCAGAGCACTGACAAGGAAGGAAGGAAGGTTCCTGGAAGCTAAAGGATTCTGGTGGAGATAAGTTACCTGCTAGGACCTTAAGGCTGTTGAGTAACATGTATGCAGCTACCAGGGTGGAGATTTACTTTCTATGGAAGAATCAACCTAACCATTTCAAGAATTAATAAAAGGGATCACCCTTCTAAAGCAGTCCTTGTCATTTAATATTCTTAAAGCTTTACGAGTTAGATTTACTTTGTAAATCTAGTTAAAATAATAGTTTACTTTTAATCTAGTTAAAATAAATAGAATCTGTAAATATTCAGCACAGTGATCTTCCAATCACTTGTCCCTCATATAGAACAATTCTTGTGACATTGTTGAAAGACCGTGATTATGAGGTTTTAAATGTATTTATGGTGAATATGTGACATATAATGATTTGCAGAATGTTTAAACTGTCTCTGTAAACAGTGGATTACCAGACATTTTATAAGCAGGACACTCAGAAACAACTGTTTTCTTTCCTTCCCTCTGTCCATCCTAACTCAGGCCATGAAGTTCCTGCTTTTGGAGAAAATCCAGGGTGGGTCTCATGACTTCCTCCTACTGTCCTTATTTCAAAAAGTCCCTTCAGTTGTTGCTTTCGTTTCTGGTCTTTTCAGTTTTGTTTTGTTTTGTTTTGTTTTGTTTTGTTTTGTGGAATGCCTCTATTTTTCATAGCCCAACTCCATGGAACACACATGTATGTTTCAATACATTTTCAGCCATTTCTATCTCTATTTACACTGTCCAACCTCAATACAGTGTTTTAAACAAGATGTCGTAAGGGAAAGTCCCCAGTTACACTCCATATAGTTTGTATAAGGTCAGAATCTTGTGTAGAAGTTTTTGAAAACTACTGAGAGTCAACAGAAAGGATTGTGCATCCTAGAAGGTGCTGGTGCTGAGAGAGACATCAGTCTATGAAACAGTTGTTGGCTGACAACCATATTGATTATCTGTTGATCAGGAAGCAGTGTTTTAAAGGTTTCCATCCCAACAGAACCATTCCTTATGTGTGTGTATTCACACAGACAGACACAAGGAGAGATGTTAACTAAAGTACTGAGTTACATTTTAGGGACTGGTAGGAAAATTAAAAAAAATAAATAGTTAATGTTTTAGGAATTGGTTGGGGGTTGTGACTGATATATGATATGTTCTAATTTTTTCAGTTCAAAATAATGTGAAGTAGACTCCTGATTACCGTTTTGATGCTGAATATCTGCTTCTCATTAGCAGAATATAATGTGAAGTGTACAACAGCTACAGTTAACTGTCCACGCCTGTTTGACAAAAATTTTGAGTAATGAATCTTTAATTGAAGCTCATCTCTTCCCCTATCAGGTCTACCCCACATAGTAAGCTTATAGCAGGATGGGAACATGATTAGTTTCTCTTCTGTTTTGGAAGCGTGTGTTTTTCCTACTCTTCCATCGGCCCACTAGCTGTGGTTTCTAACCCCTCCAGGCATGGTGCAGTAGTGAAGGATGTCCTGACCATGATGTAATGTGTTGTTGATTTCTCTGGCCAGGCAGCAGCCTGGATGCTTTTTCTCATGGAATACTTTTGTTTTCTGAGATTTCTATCCAAACTCATCCTCCAGCCCCCAAAATTAATCCTTTACCTATAACTCCAAGAAGGTAAAGAATACACGTACTCGGGCCGACGTCGTCAGCTCCCCATAATCTAATGAATGGTCTATTTTCAGCCCCTTTCTGCTGGGACCTCTTGCCCCTCAAAGCAGCCTTCTTGGGAGAATCTAAACACAACCCTGGGCCATTTCTACTTGTGTGGCCCACATGTGATCTACTTTTTGCCAGCTATCAGTAGAAGAGTAGTTACTTTCCAGACACACTTTATAGGCCCTTCCTCCAGCCCTTTTCCTTTTAGATTCCTTGGGTTTTAAATCTGACATCAATCCATTGTGCCCATGGAGCCCCATGGGACACAGATTAAGCTCCCTGAGTGGTCTGAGGAAGCCTGCCCTGCTTTACTAACAGCATAGGAAAGCAGTCCACCTGGTGAGACTCAGAGCCCATCTGCACGTCTCTCCATGTAAATTTCATTCTCAGTCTCTCCAATTTCTTACAGACAGGAGGTGGGAGGTCAACTTAGCATCCCAAACCCATTCTCAGCCAGCACTTTCCAGCCTCTAGTTTAGTTGGTCTAGTTTCTCGCCCTGGAATGTGGAGGCTCCAGATACCCATTATTTTGTGGTCTCGGCTAAAACAGAATTAGAAAGAGTTCTATTTTATCAATCTGCTAAAAAACATAGAGGCTTTATTTAGAGTAGCACCTGAGTTCTTCTCTAGGAATCATTTCCAACACCTGTGATATTAAGCAGCATAGTACATTAAATAGCCACTGTTTTGAAGAAGTCTTTGCAATACATTTAGTCAAAACTGGGCTGGGTGTAGATTGACCTTATATATTGTATCAATGGTGCATTTCAAATGCCAGCTTTCCCCAGGGTTGGTAATGAGCACTGTTCAAAGACCTCCTTGGGAGGCTCGATACTGCAAATTGGCTAGGAAAAATAATACCTTCCGCTGTCATCTGTGGGGAGGATCACTATGCGGGTTCAGAGGTGCTGGCCACGTGTCAACATTCTGCATATTATGAATTTCTCCATATCCCTGTAGAATGACTCAAGCGTCTTGGACCTAATTTCTTTTTATTATCTCATTAAAGTTGCAAAAGGTATTTTATTAATAAATGCCAGCTTAAACTGTTGTTCTCTACCACAGAACCGTGGGTTTGAGCGTCAGCAATTGACTTAGCCCCTGTGGGCTACCTGTATAAAGAAGCACCTGCCATACATCCCTAGGGGACATGATTTTTAAAGGGAGTTTAAGTTCAGCCCTTGAGGTTGGATGCAGGGTGGGCAGGGGTGGGGACAGCAACTGCTGTCCATTTTACTTTAATGAATTAATCTGGATACAATAATGTGTCAAAAATTCACACTGCTACATAAGAAGGCTTGCTTCCTAATGTAATAGAAAAAAATAAGGGCATTGGGTTATGGGAGAGTGGTGCAGAAATAGGATATTGTTTGACACACTGGCCACCTGAGTTGAAAAAGAATCCCACAAATATTCATAACTAAATTGCAGAGCTGCAAATTGAGAGCATTCGAGACCAGTGATTGTTTCTTATCCATATTTAATTTTCAGTGCCTCACTTGGTACTTGCCATATGGTAAGTATTAACTATTAGGTTTGTTGATGATCAAATAAATTAATTAAACAAGAGAAAAACTTTCTTTTGAGCTTGGGCAGATACTGAGAATTAAGAAAGGGACATTTTAAAATTGGATCCATCAAGTACCCTAATGAAATTTATCAAATAGGAATGACCTCAGGCCTTTTGGAAAAACCCTGTCTATGTTATATTTGGCAAATGTTCCAGATGTTTGCGTTTTCAAACAAAAGACTCAGATTTTTGAAGAAGAAGAGAAATTCAGATAATGAACTGAAAGGATGTAAAACTCCAGTCAACACTGGTAATAGCTGTCTAACAGAGAGACTTGTGTGGGCCTTTTGGTACTTTCTAAGGCCTGATGGGGGTCAGCAGATCATC